TTTTAAAAATGCAAAACACACTGTCGATGAAGCATTTGTTGTGTTGTGGATTATTCTAAGCGGCTCTGGTGCATAATGAGCAGCTCGTTTTCATTTTCTATTTCTGGACACATTTCCTGAACCGTGCGTGTCACACTCCATTTATTGTTTTACAGCCACAAACAACAACATCTGTATGTTTAGGATCATAAAATCTGATTCAAATGATCCTCTCCTTGAATCGTGGTATTTTTGGTGCAAACCGTGAAAATGCTGAGTTTTAAACGTCCTGTGTGTGAGCGTGCAGCATCACAGCGGCAAAGCAACAGGCAGCTAAGCCTCAGAAAGCCGGAGTGATGGGAGGGAATCACCTTACAGAAGCTCAGCCTCGTCCAGGCTTCACTTCACTCACTCTCCGCTCACTCTTTGTTGTCTGGAGCCAGACGCAGCTCACGGAGCAGGCAGGGTTTGTTGTTTACATGTGTCAGTGTTTACCAGTTTATCTCGGAGAGACTCAGCCCAACGAAACCCACTGGCAGACTCCAGATCAGATTTAAAATGACAACACTCTGGCTCTAACGTCACAAACGAAGCACAAAGTTGAGACAGAGTTATAAATATTATTCAAAATAACCAATTAAATGAGAAACGAGACAAACATCAGTCTGCTCTGCAAAATATCATCATTGTATTTTCTCAACAAATAAACAAAATAATAAATGCTCAGGAAAAAAATCACACTGAGCCCTGATCTCCTTAATCTGTGCAGCCTTAATGCACTTATACTAGCAATGTACTCAGGATGCTAATTGTGTATCATTAGTGCCAATAAAGTTGCACTCTAAGTGTCCTTGGCTGTTCTGTATTGAGACAGCATTAATATGTATTTAAACATCTGAAGTACAACTTATTACCTTAAAAAATATACTTTAATCCAACTTTTGTTCAACAGGAAGATTTTTTATTATATTTAAGCGCACTTGAAAGTCATTATTAGGCGGCACGGTGGTGCAGTGGTTAGCACTGTGGCCTCACAGCAAGAGGGTTCCTGGTTGGAACCCAGGGTGGAGGAGCCCTTCTGTGCAGAGTTTACATGTTCTCCCTGTGTCAGCGTGGGTTTCCTCCAGGTGCTCTGACATGTTCTCCCTGTGTCAGCGTGGGTTTCCTCCAGGTGCTCTGACATGTTCTCCCTGTGTCAGCGTGGGTTTCCTCCAGGTGTTGTGAGTCTGGTGACCTGTCCAGGGTGAACCCCCCGCTGGGATAGGCTCCATCCCCCACAACCCCCAACAGGGTAAGCAGTTACAGGAAATGAATGAAATGAAAGTTATTACAAATCCCCAAAAATTATACTTAAAATGTATTTTCAAAACAGTTTTTTAAATTATAAATACATAAAGTGATTGTTTCCTGTCAGGAGAGCGGCACAAAAAGTCACAGGAGTGAAATTATAAATGTGTGGAGGATTTTTAAACTTTACTGCTTTACATAAATCCAGCTCTCACGGTGAAGCTGTGGGATGTTGCAGTAATTGCTGAAGTTCATATTGTAATTATTCACCGTTGTGGTTACTGAAACAGTGACTGCTCTGCACTGGTCATTATCACTGATAGAAACCATGAAAATAAGATGCACACTGCATGAAAACACAGTTCCCTTTAAGATTATTCTGTCTGTAATTAAATGTCTCTGAAGGGTTTTAACCTCGACCAGGACTGAACACAGTTTGACCCCCCCCTCCACACACACACATACACACACACACACACACACAGCACATCAGCTTCATGTGTTGATGAATATGTCAGAGTTCTGAAAAATATCAATTGAAGCAATCTCCTGCGCTGCTACAGAGAGAAACACACTGTTTTCTATCAAGGTGGGAGATGCTGTCAGAGGAATCAGCGTACGCTGGGAGGAAAAAAAAAGGACCATTATTCACATTTAGCTCTCTAATTGCTGAAGATGTTAGAGCTTTAGAAAAAGATGAGAGCGGAGTGGCGCTGTGACCTCAGCCTTGACCATGAGACTGAAAATACTGCAAGTGTGCAGCAGAGGAACAGCATCACACCTACGACTGACAGAGTGAATGGAAATGATCCGATGTAACCTGCAGACTGAGTGAATGAGACGACACTGCACGCAGAGCAGCTTCACTACACCCGTTAGGTTTCATTTCTTTGCTTGCTCGTCGCTCTGCCTGCTCCTTCCTGCTCAGTCCTGTTCCACAGCGTCAGTACGTCTGTCCACTGCAGGCCGGCAACTAACCAGTAGTTTCATTACTGATTTATCTGCTCGTTATTTTGTTGAATTAATCAACAATAATTTTCATGGTAACGTAGAATTTCCTTCGAAGTTCGTCTTCAGATGTTTCGTCCAGCCGGCGGTCCAAGCACAGAGAGGTTCACGTTAGTATCATATCAAACTTGAGTCACCGCCTTGCAGTTGTACGCCTCTGTGGCCCCGTCAGTTTGCAGTTTACATCCATGTCTGTCCAGACTCATGACAGCTGATGATGCTTCGAATATGGATGTTGCTGCAAAGCAGTTAAAAATTCTAAAACATGGATGCTTCATACACAGAAGATCTTTACAATCAGCACAGCTGCAAGATTAGAGTCAGCAATTCAGTATGTGAGGCCTCATTTACACCGCAAGTGATGCACAAGCGTAGCGGCAGCACACGTGTATTCACACCAAAACCAAACAGACATGTCACGCAGCGGCTGCTGCTGTCGTGTCAAAATACAAACCACACCTGAACAGTTGGTGGCGGTAGCGCACCATGTTTGCAAATCTCCAATAAACCCCAAAGAAGAAGAAGTGAGTTTGGACCCAAAGCCCAGGGTGGACAGGTTCACGTGCCAGTGATTATTCCAACGCTTGGAGAATTAATACTATTTAGCACTACAAATGGGTAAGTAGTCTTTGTCTGCTAATTACTAGCCTTAGTACAAAAAGCCAATTTGTCTCAGTGTTAGCCACATGTGCTTAGCTGTCACAAAACATACACAGCAAAACTGCATTAGCTACTTATGGTTATCAAAGCCAATTGCGGTGGCGACCGCTGCCCATGCCTTCTCCTTCCTTTGACTGTCTTTATACAATGGATGTCGGACATCATGAAGGTCAACATGCTTTTTGACCGCCTCGATCAATCTGTAGTCGTCCATCTCCATAACATGAAACATGTTGCTGTCAGGTCTCATTTGGTCAAGGGGGAGATGTCTGTGGTGGCTGAGAGAGGTCACAACACATGCAAACTCGTGTTTGCGTGTAGTTTGCGTGTGTTGTGACCTCTCTTGGCCACCGTGGATGTCAATTTTTTGTTGACTACAGTGACCATTCGCTCGCGCAAAAAATCGTCATCTCATCTATTTTCGAGCTTGCTGGCGAAAGCAGCACGACTCAAGCAGCGCATAGAACAGATGCGTTGTGAATGCTCTAGCTTGTTAACATGCTTGCCAAAATGAAAACGTGAGTACACAGCAACCGTTTACGAGCGCTACGCGAACACATCACTTGAGATGTAAATGAGGCCTAAGGGTTGAAACAGTTAGATAAAAGTAATAGTGACAGTAAGTAAGTAAATATTGCAATAGCAATAGTTAGCTGAAAGTAAAGGCTAACGGTTGAAACAGTTAGCTAAAAAGATCTGATAAACTGTCAAAATAGCATTAGTTAGCTAAAGGTAAAGTTATTAAACGGTCAAAACAACATTAGTTAGCTATAAATAACTGCTAAACTGTTGAAATAGCATTAGTTAGCTATAAGTGATGGAGCAAAAGATTGAAACATATCGCTAGCTAAAAGTAATTCATAAACAGTTGATATTGGATTAGTTAGCTGATAAGTAGCTAGTTGAAATAGAATTAGTTAGCTAAAAGTAATGGCTATTGGTTGAAACAGTTAACTAGTAACATCTAATAACTTGTCTGCATTGGTTAGCTTAAACAGTTCAAACAGCATTAGCTAGCTAATGGAACAAAAGGTTGAAACAGATAGCTTGAAGAAAGTGTTGCAGGTAGCATTGGTTAGCTAAAGGTAATTGATTAACAGTTGATATAAGGCTAGTTAGCAGCTAAACAGTTGAAATAGCATTAGTTAGCTAATGGATAATAGTTGAAATTGTTAGCTAATAGTTCTGATAAACAGTTGAAAGAGTTAGCTTAAAAAAATAAAGTGTTGAAACATACATATTCCTTTGTGTCTACGTTAATCTAACATAGCCCGAGGAACTTTAAAATGTTTGCATTATTATTATTAGCAAGGATAAATTACATTTATGGGTTTTTTCTGCATGTTGCTTTTTTACTTTAAACAGCTGCAGTTTGCAAAGCATTCTAGGAATTTTCTCTTACCACTCCATTTGGAGGGCCACCCAGAGGGCTGGATGACCACTAGCCGTCAATCCCCAAAAGACACGGGACACACTATCCTACGCAGCAGCACTAAAAATGGAATGGCCAAGGGGGTGACTTGGGATTGAGCCCATTAACACACACTACCCACGTTGTTCTGACGCAGAGCTGGTTGAAAATCAGAGACATATCCCTATAATTAAGTTTTGAGCCTTTCCTCCCTCAGTAACCCTCTTTTGAACTTCCCCTCTCTGTTCTTTAACTCAGAAACTGTCTTCCTGCCTTCATCACTGTATTCAACATATATTCATCCAGAGAAAGCTAACCAATCAGGCGTGTGCTTTTCACCAGCACTGCTGCCTTTTCAAGGGCACCCCAACCGTAGTCACCGAGGGAGGAGGGCGGGGGTGTAACTCACTCACTTCCCCCACTTCAGGCTCCTCTAACCTTTGAAGCCAGTAGTTATCAATCAAACTCGCAATTTTGACCCAAGAGTGTTCTCGATTTCTTTCCAATTAAACCCTCCAGCAGCTGATTTCACTGATTAGTTCCTCCTCTCGCCTGATCATAATCAGCGAAACACGCTGCATCCAGCCTTCGTGCATGTGAATGGAAAACCGGCAGGTCACGCTCACACCTGATTGGCTGCTGGAGGCCGTCTCACCTGCAGAGAGCGTCGGAGCGGCAGATGCGTCGGAGCTCCAGGCAGGTGGGCTTGTGCCTCTCCTGGTGGGAGCAGGAGGGGACGATGGTGCGGCGGCGGCGCTCGGCACACGCCTGGTCCGGGCAGGAGCAGAACAGCAGAGGGTAGCTCAGCTCCCATGAGACCCGCTCGAAGAACTGACGCAGGGCCTGAGAGACACAGAGTGAGGAGTGAATCATCATCTTTGTATCATTTATATTACTAGATAGTTAAATATTCTCTATCCAGGAGCGGAGCAGAGGTCAGATCTTCAACAGCCTTGTATTCCACAGGACGGTTACATAACAGTGAAATTACATTTAGCTGTTAGCAGCTTAACGTTTAGTCAGTAGAAATGAGGAAAGGGAGCAGGAAATGAAATATTAATAACCTTTTAGTCTTAAATAAGCTTTTAGTTTTAACAGATCCAGCAACGTGCAGGATGTTATTTCACCGTGCACAGCTCTGTCTCATGATCTCACCACTGGAGAAAAGGTCAGAAATCAGTTGGTAGAGTAGGTGCTTTTTTTTCTACTCCGATATTTGTGACTTGCAGGAGTGCACTTCAACATCATCAGTGAAGTAAAAGCTAAAAGGTGATACCACCTGCTGCACACTTCACTGATTAACGTATAATGGAGCTGGAGTGATTGACGGTTGTATTTTTGTATTCTTCAGATTCTGAATGGCCGCATTATGGAGAGGTATATTTTACCCTGATGGGGAAATTCAGTAAGTACCACATGACATGTGAAGCCCTGTGTACGTCTGTTTACGTTCTCTCCAACACATTCTTACAGCTCAGCCTTTAGTGACACTAAATATCCACACAGCTTCATTTTATTGTACAACTAGAACAGCCGCTTTGTGGTTGTATGCCTCCGCAAATCAGCCAAGTTTCCCTAAAGCCCAGTTCAGACCAAAACGTTGTAAAATGCTGCCAGTTCACACCAACTAGATGAGACGGCGTATCATCTCTAGTCAACGACTCTCTGTGCTTCTGATCTGTAACGTCGACAGGAAGTGACCACCATGAGACGGCGTATCATCTCTAGTCAACGGCTCGTGAGGACAGAAACAGAGGGCTCTGTGGGGACGGAACACCTGCTGCAGCAAGCCAACACGCCGTCTGTGGCCATTTTGACTTGACCAGCGGACTTCACTACAAGCTGATTGGCTGTTGAAACAGGTGACGTGCTTTAAAACCAGCCGTCGGCCATTTGACCAGCTGAGTGTCAGGTGACACCATCAGCCGGCTTGAGTCGAGCTCGGACGGCCAGTTCACACCGCTGACACTTTTCTGTCAACGGTTTTGTCTCGTCGAGAATCTTTGGTCTGAACTTGACAGTTTGTATCCGTGTCTGTAAAAACATGGATGTTTTACAACAGAAGATCTTTACAATCATAACTGTTTCAAGATTTCAAGCCTCCGTGATTCACCAGCAAACCACCAGGCCATCCGTCCCAGGAGCCGGGTGGTTTGCTGGTGAATTTACGGAGTCGAGGATGAAGTTGTTGGAAGGTAAAACTACAAATGACGGACATTTGCCAAGGATTAGCAAGCTAAAGACTATCTCCAAAAGTGCAGCTGCAGGGTACCGGTAAGCTTCACTGTGTCATCTTCGAAGTGTTGTTTTATTTATTTCATAGGCAGCGAGTAACAGCCAGTCAGGTCGCGTCATGGCTTCACTATCCTAGGAAACACAGATTAGCTCCCTGGGACTACGAGATGCTGGAAGTTTCAAGCCTTCCTTTTTTTAGCACGACTTGCAGTGACAGCTGATGGCAGTCAACAGTATCACCCACCTGCAGAGCCATAGAGCCACTGTAGACATACACCTGTGCGAGATCGAGAGGGGTTGGTATCGGTCAATCATTTTTTAATGTGACCAATCAGATGCTCACAATCCTATATCAGTCAATCACTTCACAGTAGTGGGAGTAGTCAACATTTCTACTAGCTAGCTATCCTAGTGCTAGCTAGCATCTTCACATCAAATCCACGCTGACACAGGAGAACATGCAAATTCCACACACAAGGGCTCCCCACCCTGGGTTCAAACCAGGAACCCTCTTGCTGTGAGGCAACAATGCTAACCACTGCATCACTGTGCCGCCCATTTCAAAGTATCAACAGACGGAGGTGTTTTTAATCAACATATTAAAGTGAAGTAGAAAACTTTTCAGCGAGCTAACACTGCAGCCAGAAACAAGTATCTATGCTCCATCGTCCGATAATCTAAACAAAGAACACGTCTCCTTGGAGCGATCCTCCTAAAATGAGCGGTGGTGAAAGGTGCTATATTCTCTACTGATCTGGTTTTAACAACAATGATCCAAAATATGTATTTAGCAATCTCGGTCCGTACAACATAAAACGGTCTGGTACTCATTCACATCTAAAACGGCGGCTCTCCGACTCTGCAAGAGTAATATTAGGTGATACTGATGTTCTGTCAGTAAACAGGTGCATTCCTAATTTAACATTAAACCAAACATTGAATTATTAGACAATAATTCTGCCCCCACCTTCTGACATCTTTTCCGGCTGCACGGCTCCTGATTGGCCAGAGAGGGCTGAGGGGGTGTGGCCTTGCTGCAGATGGAGTTATAGGCAGATCGTAGGCGTTTACACGTTTCGTTAAGGTTACAGGCCTTCGCCGCATCCAGACAGGGGTTACAGGGTTTCCCGGCCTCAGAGCAGGGGCTCATCTTGGATAGAGACGAATCTGAACAGAAAGAGAAAATAAAAACACATTTCGAGTCATACACAGAATCCTCTGAGCTGCTTCAACACTGCTGTTTCTACAACTGATGTAAAAGTCATTTTGTGCTGAATAATAAAATCCATCTGTTGAGGGATAATTGAACATTTGCTGTGTGTGGACTCAGTGAGGTGACCCGGTACGCTGTGTTACTGCTGCTACAATCCCTCTGCAGCATACAGCTTCATCACTTTCTGTGGATGTTGTCAGATATTTTTATTTTATTTTAATCGATTTCTCACCAATCCCACACACTGTTTATAGCTCCAAGCCTTCATTAGCTGTGTGATTAACAGTGTGTCTTCTCCTCCCCTGTTTATTGAGAGGGTATCTGCTGATGTGGGTGATAAGCGACTGCACACAGCTGCCCTTGCAGGGACAAATAAAGTTTTGTAAAATTTAATTGAATCTGGAAACTGAATTTGAAAATCAATATGTATGGGAGTCAGGAGGGGAGGCTGCACGCTCTCCCAACATTATACTAAGTGACCTTTAAGACCTGTTTCTGAGATGAAAAATGAAGACTGATTTAAAAAATGGAGAAAAGTTTAAATCTGATATTAACAGTGGTATATGGGACTTTTTTGGCCTGGGTTTTGCCTTCCAGGTTATATACAGAGGTACTGCAGACACCTCTGCGTGTTTTTGGGGAAATTAATTATTCAGTCATCATCATTAATCATGACCTATAACTTTTAGTCACGGTGACCCTGAAACATATCTTTGGTCAGAGTTGCTTATAAGCCTTCATATGATATTAGTATTGTTGTTGTACTTAGAGTCACCAATTAACCTGCATGTCTTTGGACTGTGGGAGGAAACTGGAGCACCTGCAGGAAACTCAACTCAACTCAAACTTTATTTATAAAGCACATTTAAAACAACCAAGGTTGACCAAAGTGCTGAATAGGTCAATAGAAATAAACAAGCAAATACGATGAGGCACCCAATAGTACACCACAATAACAACCATAAGATACATAAAATACAATACAATAAAATAAAATAAAATACAAGGGTTATAAAATAAGATAAAATGTTTGGGTGTCCAGCTCAACCTGAGTTAAAAGCCTGAGAGAAGAGGTGGGTTTTAAGAAAAGACTTAAAAACCTCTAGGGTCTGGGCAGACCTAATGTGCAGGGGCAGGCTATTCCAGAGCCTTGGGGCAGCCACCCCAAAGGCTCTGTCACCTCTGGTCTTCAGCCTAGTCCTAGGAGCAGCCAGTAATAGCTGACTGGCTGATCTCAAGGCTCTGGAGGGAGCATGACAGTGCAGGAGTTCAGTTAAATAAGGGGGTGCCAGCCCATTTAGGGCTTGAAAAACAATCAATAAAATCTTAAAATCAATTCTAAAACGCACTGGAAGCCAGTGGAGCGAGGCCAAGATTGGTGTGATGTGATCGCGTTTACGCTTTCCAGTGAGGAGGCGGGCTGCTGCATTCTGGACAAGCTGTAGACGGTGTAGCAGTGACTGGTCAATACCGACAAAGCGAGTTACAGTAGTCCAGACATGAGGTTATAAAAGCATAGATTACCCTCTCTAGATTTTGGGGGGAGAGATAGCCCTTTACTTTAGCTAAAAGCCTGAGTTGATAAAAGCTGGTTTGTATTACTGATCTAATTTGTTTATCGAATTTAAAAGCACTGTCAAAGGACACACCGAGATTTTTAACAGAGGAACGGATGTTAGGAGTGAAGGGGCCCAGAAAATCAGCGGAGTAATCGGAGGGGTCACATCCAAACATAATGATCTCTGTTTTATCCTCATTGAGATTTAAAAAGTTAGTGTCCATCCAGGATTTGACATCTTTTAAACATTCTAGCAGTGGCTGTACAGAATCCTTGCTAATGGATTTAAGGGGCAGATAGATCTGTACATCATCTGCAAAACAGTGAAAAGGTATGTTGTGTTTCTTAAAAATCAACCCTAATGGCAGCATGTAGAGCAAGAAGAGGATGGGGCCCAAAATGGAGCCTTGGGGGACACCGGAGGTGAGAGGAGCCGTAGCTGAGTTGAATTCCCCTAAGTTAACTGAGAAGCTCCGATCAGTGAGGTAGGACTGAAACCACAGAAGGGCAGTACCTGTGATACCTACCCACTGTTCCAAGCGAGACAGGAGGATCCTATGATCTACGGTATCAAAGGCTGCTGACAGGTCAAGCAGCACCAGAACAGCAGAGTTACATGAATCAACAGTTGACAAAAGATTGTTAAAAACCCTCAAAAGTGCTGTTTCAGTGCTGTGATGTGGTTTAAAGCCAGACTGGAACTTTTCATACATGTCATGGGCCACTAGGAATGATTGCAGCTGAGTAAAGACCACTGACACACGCTGACACAGGGAGAACATGCAAACTCTGCACAGAAGGGATCAGAATAAAATTCTTTTGATTTTGAAAAAAAAAAGCTTTGAAAGGTTGCCATTGGAAGATATGTGACAGAGCCTGTTGGCGTTCCAAACTGGGCGCACATGTTGTACTCATGATTGGAGGAAAGTACACAGTAAAGTGCGAGACACTTTTATTTTGTAGCCAGCAAGGCAGCGAAACAAGCAGACCCAACAACACGGTGCAAGAAGACAAGAAAATATAGTTTATATTGGAAGAAGTGCGGTTTGTTTGACCACTGAAGTTAGCCTACAGTTAGCAGTGGACTGAAAATATTCTTTTGATTGGTGGATTCGTACAGACTGAAGGAACAGACTTCATGAGCGTTTCAAAGGTTGGCAGCCTCTTGTTTACTAGGCTGATAAATCTGAACTAATTATTTGGTTCTCATGGTTTCCATGAAATGAACTAAGTGACTGAATTGTGAAGAATCTAACTGAGCTAACGATGTGTAGCATGTCAATACTAACTGAGTTTTAAACATAGAATGTTATATTCTGATGATCGGTGCCACTCAGAACCAGCTCAGTGGCAATCCAGTTGGTTATGTCCCCTCTAACTGATTTCTGTTGGAGAGCAGGACTCTGTTTTCCCTGACACATCACCAGAGAACACTGTATCCACGGCTTCTACCCTTCTCCCGTCTAAAAACTTCCCACTTCCCAGAATTCCCACTTTTGTAATCTTGGTATTCCGATCTAACTGGGGAAGGGGGCCAGGAAGCAGTTGACCTTGAACTGCTTCTCCCACGTCTTCAAGTGGACGTTTGTGCCAAATTTGAAAACATTCCCTCAAGGTGTTCTTCAGATATTTTATTCACCAGAACAAGACGGATGAGTCGCAGTGACCTTTGACCTACGACCAAGAGTCCAAGTGGACATTTGTGCCAAATTTGAAAAAAATAAATAAAAAATCCTATCAATGTGTTTTTGAGATATCATGTTAACAAGAATGAGACAAATGATGTCACAGTGACCTTGACCTTTCACCGCTGAAATCGAATTAGTTTATGCTTGAGTCCAAGTGGACGTTTGTGCCAAATTTGAATTAAAAAAAATTAAAATAAATAAAAAATCCTATCAATGTGTTTTTGAGACATCATGTTAACAAGAATGAGACAGATGATGTCACAGTGACCTTGACCTTTGTCCGCCGAAATCGAATTAGTTTATGCTTGAGAACAAGTGTACGTTTGTGCCAAATTTGAAATAAATAAATAAAAAAATCCTATCAATGTGTTTTTGAGATATCATGTTAACAAGAACGAGACAGATGAAGTCGCAGTGACCTTTGACCTACGACCAAGAGTCCAAATAGACATTTGTGCCAAATATGAAAAAATAAATAAATAAAAAATATATAAAAAAATCCTATCAATGTGTTTTTGAGATATCATGTTAATAAGAACGAGACAGATGATGTCACAGTGACCTTGACCTTTCACCGCTGAAATCTAATTAGTTTATGCTTGAGTGGAAGTTCTTAAGATATTGCGTTCTTGAGAATGTTACAACCTGAAAACATAACACCTCTGGCCGCGGCTGTCGCCGGCATGGAGGCATAAAAACACTGCACAAAGTCAGACCGCCTTTTGATCTGTTCAGAGCACATTAACTGTTGATAACTGAATCATGTGTTCACATTAATATCCTTCCCTATTGTCATTCTGTCATCATTAATCAGGAGCATGAGCCTCAGTGTGTGTTTTATCAAATGGACTGTGGTCTGCAGTGCATTAGATTACATGTGGAATTCATTAGCATCTCATTACTTGTGCAGCATAGTCATTATATTTATGTAAAAGCATTCAGCAGGAGCTGTTAAATATAACAGATATGAGCCAAGACAGTAGTGCTGTGAGTCAGCTGATCCTGAGTCAGTGAGGCTGCGGTCATGTGATGGGAGTGTTTACAGGCTGGTGTCACTTTGAGACAGTAAATTCTTAACTAGAGCTCAAGTGTGCTGTAATAAAGCAACGTGGGGCTGATGAAAGTGTGTAACAGAGTTCATTTGTTAAATCATCACAACAAGTCTGCTGAAGAGTTCAAGTGAGGGCCTGAGCAGAAGCCCCCTCTCCACCAAACCCTTTCAGTCCAGCACCTTTGGAACCAGCAGTGACCCTTCAGACATGGTTCCTAGACCCTCGGTCTGTTCAGACAGTCCTCTTAAATGTGGGCGGGGGTGGAAGGGGTCTGGTTTGGGAACCTCAGAATTTCATCTCTTTCATTTGCAGATGATGTGTTTCTGTTGGCTTCATCACACGGTGACGAAGCGGTCCGGATGAGACTCAGTACCTCCAAACCTGGGGTCATGGTGGATTGTTCCCTCTGGGTTGGGAGAGAGTTACTGCCTCACCGAGGGAGTTCAAGTATCTCGGGGTCTTGTTCACGAGTGAGGGTAGAATGGAGCCTGAGGTGGATTGGCTGTTTGGCGCAGCATCTGCAGTGATTCAGGCGCTGCGCCAGACCGTTGTGGTTCAGAGGGAGCTGAGCCGGAAGGCAAAGCTTTTGATTTCCTGGTCCATCTCCGTCCCAACCCTCACCTATGGTCATGAGCTCTGGGTAGTGACTGAAAGAA